ATAGAAAAAGTGAACTCCAGATGTTTTGTTGATTTCCGGCGGCCATATTGGTGTACCATGACTGTACACCAATATGGCGTCTCCATACATAGCTCTATAAAAGTGCGTGAAATGTTTCGGCAAATAACTCAGAAACTGTACGGTGGGCCACAAAGACTTGGACAAATGGTTTATATATTTGTCTTTTCATTTTCTTGGTTTCTTTCACTGGACGGTTTCCAGTTTATTTTTTGTGCCGTATTTATTGTGTTACTGACAGTGAAAGCGATCTATTACTGTCTACTTGCTAGCCTGAGTAGCAGGCGCTTCGAAGTAGTGGGCGAAAGGGAGAACGGGCGTGCGCGGGGGAGGCACACGGGGGGTGTCTCCTCTCTCCCCTCGGGTGTCTCCTTCTCGCGCGCCCGTTTTTTCTTGTGCCCACTACTTCCAAACGCCTGCTACGCAGGCTATCTACTTGCAAATATATGAAAGCTTAATTAAAGCGTTTTTATTGCCGCAGTGAAAACGTTATCACGTTTATTACGATGAGCTGTTCAACACAGCAAAATACCTGAATGCAAGATGAAGATCAAACACGATACAATTTACGCCAGCAACGGTAATAAAAATTCAAACCATAGACAAGGAAAAACAGAAGAATTGAAAGCTTTCGTAGAGAGTACGTCAATCTCATTAACACGGGGCTCGAGTTTTGTACGACGGCAGAAACCCATAAGGGGTTGAAAGACGGGTTGAAACGTGTAACTCGCGTTCAATGCTCGTGAATATTCACTTTTACCATATTTGGAAACCTTAGTGACGGATATCCATTTTCAACAAAATGGCTGCTGCGCGATCACCATGCAGATGTTTTAAGACAAGAGTTCTGCATTTCAAGGTTAAAAATACACCGTTAAAAGACAAAAAATGGAAAGAGAAAGTTCAAAAGAATGCTCAGATTTCTTTTTGTGGAGAAAGGGAAGCTTTTCATCAAGAAATCGTCCTTCAAGGAATTCAACCTTGTTTTCGTCACGTCGGAGCCCATGGTCTGTTTTGAAATGCAGCCTAGTGAGCGAAGTTTTTGCAGAATTTCAGGTACATTTTGCACTCTATGGCCAAGACAATTACGTTTTTGAAAGGAAATTTATGTATTTTTAAGTGCTTCATAGACGTTTTATAAATTTTTCTCTTAATTCGACGCTATGAAAAATTACAAAATGTGCCCCGATTTGAGATAGATTTTGTGTTGAATTTTGCCATGTGTTCAGCCGATTTCACTTGCGTGAAAGGATCCACGATCCAGATAGTGTTTTGCGAATTGCTTTAAAGGATTAACTCCGTTTGTATTTTGATTAAAAATTTTCAAGAAACGGCTTCTCTGCCTATTGTTTTGAGTTTGTTCATTCATAAAATTAGCTCAAAACACGATTGTGACCACAATATCCAAGCTGAATTTAAGCTTAGTGCTTCTCACATTCATTACAAGCATCACTTTTTGCGAAGATGTCAGGTTCAGGTTTTGGACACTTTTCGATACGCAGCTAATGAATTTTATTCGAAAATATTTTTTACTGTTTATTCTAGACTTTTAACATAAGAATTTTAGAAGCCTATTTGCAGTATAAGTTTACTGTCCAGAGGGTCAACGAGGCATCGGTTTGAAGTGACAACTTCAAGAAGTCGCGAGGACATCAGTGGGTTTCATAATATTACGTTTGGCCAGGGTGGTAGGCCAATAATATCCTGCTCAGTATAATTTCGGTAAGATTCCTAGTTTCAACCTTTGAAATCTTTCTCGGCTTTCGGGAGTTTTTCCCCCGTTTGTCGGCCATTTTTTTAAGCGGGCGCGGGAACGTGAAGTAAAATTACGTCACGTTGTTTACTAAGTTTGATTGGTCAGTTATCTCTTCTTCTCGTTCCAAATATGGTACTTTTCGAAAATGAATTATCACGAGCATCAGACAAAGCAAACATATGAGAGGGAGTTATACGTTTCAACCCCTTATGAGTTTCTGATACGACTCAAACGTATTCAGAAGTGTACTATGGACAGTGAACTTGTTCACCAGCCTTTCAAGTTACTGTGTATTTATCAAGTTTTCGTATCTATCCATTCGTCACAACAGTTGTAGTGTCTAAAGGAACAGAAACCAACAAGTTTTTCGGCTTTCCGACCTTGTCGCTCTGCAATCTCAACGCTTTCAACACTCGGAGATTTAGAGATCTTTACAATGGGTCGTCCAACGGACCTTTTATTGACAGATATATCAAAGACATTTCTCTTATGGCAACAAAATCAGAGGAGATTTTAACAAAAGAATTTAAATCCAGAAACATAGGACCTTTTTATCGCTTTCAAACGCCCGACCAAACGTTGGGTGTGAAAGGCATCATGAGCCATCAAGTTGCTGAAATGCTGCTTCCAAGCAAGTCTCGCAGTTCCATTCATGCTCTTTAAATGGTATACCATGTACAGAGAAAAACTTCACTTATCACATAAGTTCAGCGTATGGGCAGTGCTACACTTTTAACTCAGCTAAGAGCGATGAGCCTATGATTTCTGCCACATTAGTTGGACAGAGCAGTGGATTAAAGCGTCGGCTTAACATCAAACGTGACAGTTATTTTGGACTGGAACGTTGCTGAACCCGTCTGTGGGAATCAGTTGTTATACACGATCAGAAACGTTTTCCATTATTCATGGAGGAATTTGGAATGATTCAGCCGAACATTTCAACTCTTTGTGTCATAAAGAAGAAAGAGTTTAGAATAATTTATTGCTAACAAATTCTAGCAAGTTTTAAGGCAATCAAGTCTTCATATTGACAAGTAACAATCATAAGGTTGGACGGAGCGGGGAGGGAGTGGGGGGATTGTTTTTAATTTACAAACTGAGACGAAATTAAATTGATTTATTGTTACCAGCCTCGTTTTCAGTTCCTTGAGAATTTCCCACATAATTTGAATTTCCGATGGAAAAGGCGATCCGGCCAGCCAAGAAGAACTCATCAAATTCTTACTTATAATATTTGTTGTTAAAAGATCCTAAATATGTATGAGAGAGAGGGTACAGCAACTCAAAACAAGTCCAGAAAATTTCAGTTTTTTTTTCATAAATGCCAATCGTGGTAGACAGGTGATTTAAAAAACTGTTGCATGAAGCTCGTATAAACTTGTTTGGAAATGTTTTCGTGGGCAGCTTAAGCAAATATCCTCTAGCTAGGCTGGAGATGCGATTAATTATGATCAACAATTGATGAAATGCTGCAATTCTGACCAGGATATACAAAGGACTTTATTTCAGTGCGTCACACATACAGAGCAGCACCTGACTAAGGTGTATTTACCGGAAGATGTTAAGCATAAAACAAGGAACATTCAAACAAAAATTTGGTTTTGACGGAGACCCAGGGGTCATTTTTGGAAGTGATATAACCTGAAAACACCCTAACTACAGCTGATTATTGTTAAACTATTAAATAATAATAAAAATTAAACTATCAACAAATAAAACATGATAACGTCATTGATGTGGTCTGTTAAGAAACAGAAATCTGCCTTTACTGTGGAGAAGGAGAACTCCTATCACTTGCTATTTAAAGGCTGATGTCTTTTACTTTTAAACATACTAACATTAGTTTACACTGTTACACGAAGGTAAGTTGTGTCTCCAGCTGAAACTGAAAGAAATAATTAAACTGAGTTTCAACTTCGGAAGGTTAGACTGACAGGTGGACTGAATTGCTTTGCAAAACAGCGAGTTTTTCAGAAAGGCTTTTAATATAGGAGTGTTTTCTTTGACACTGTTCAGCAGGAATAAAAATAAAAAAACAAACAAGAAAGTTAATTTATCTTTTATATTGAAATTTTAAAAAAGCCCCCACTCACGTACAATGAAGGCTTAGACTCAACCGAGTCATTCAGGTAAAGAACTCAAGGCCTTGTCTCTGCCATTTGTTATTTTTCCTTACGATCTCTATGAGCTAACGTTTCTCAGTAACACAAAATAAATAACTTTATTTCAACTTTTAACTAAATTCTTACTAACTTACGTGATTAAAAAGTATTGGCAAATTGTTCGCTTTTGTGAAGATAATTTCCTGCTGTTATTCAGAAATTCAGGCACTTTTAATTACAAAAGAACTACAGGAAAAGTCAACTTTCCATTTAAAGCTTTTGTCACTATATTTCGTTAAATAATTTTCATAACAGTAGGAAGAAAAATACCCTGAACTGAACGCTCCTGTACCCATAAATGTTTTAAAATGTAAAAATCGCATATCCTGACCGAGACACTCTAGAATGAATACACGCAAACTTGCGTATAATGGCGGCAAATCAGGAAAGTTTAGGGACAAAAAGAGTGAGAGATGATACACACTTCCCTCACAACCAAGAAAACAAGAAAGCCGATGAAAAATCTAATGGGGGATTAGAGTCCTTTGCCAATGATACAACCTTACACGGAGCAAGATTTTGTACGACAAAAATATCTTCAGGAGAGTTTTATGGACCTTGGTCCTCATCGGCAGTTTTAGTTACTGTATTTTTCAAGTTTATGAGACTTTGGTGGCATTTAGTCAGCGACCATTCATTACAAAAGTTTCAACAAGTACAACTGAAACCAACGAGTCTTTTTTCCCCGCTGTGTCGCTTTGTAATCTGAATGCCTTTAACACACGAAGATATAGAAACGCATTAAAATCCCGCAACTTCAGTGAACCTTCGATCGAGAAAAAAATTCAAGACATAGTTGTTATTGTGAACAAAGACAAAAAGGCATTTAACGATGAGTTTGTCAAGCGAAATCCAGAATTTTTTCTACGTCAAAAAACTGCAAACAGCAGAATTGTGGCTCGAAGTAATCTTAGTCATCAAATCGAAGAAATGCTCCTTCCAGTAAGCCCACAGTTTCATTCTTGCTCTGTAAATGGGAAAAAGTGCACAGCAAATAACTTTACGAGTCACATGAGTTCAGAATACGGATTTTGTTACACGTTTAACTCTCTGAAAAGCGGTCGACCGTTGCTTTATGCAACGTTATCTGGTAAAAATAGTGGACTAAGGCTTCTACTTAACATAGAAAGGGACAGCTACTTGGCTACTAACATTCGCCCAACAGTTGGTCTTGCAATTATTATCCATGACCAAAAAAGTTTTCCTTTCATGGAGGACTTTGGTACCACCGTACAGCCTGGCATTTCAACTCTTTGTGCCTTTAGGAAAAGAAAGGTTAGAGACTAGCCAGCTATCATCCGTATTTGTTGCAAAAATAGCGCTATATTAAACAATTATTCCGCGAGCCCGAATGGGCTCTCAGTCAATAGCCCATGAGGCCGAGTTTTAGTAAAATCCGACTAGTTGGTCAAAAATGTCGAGACAAAACAACTTTAGCTAGCAAAACGCGATTCAGCCGCCATTGTTTTGGTTTTCAAAGCCGGCGCTTTTCGCTACTAGAGGGCTATAACGTATAAACTAGTAGTGACTCAGCGAATCAGAACGCAGCATTGATAATAGACCACTAGTTGGATTTTACTAATACCTACGCCGTAATTTTTAGGGAGTTATTATAACTCCAAAAATGGAGTAAAAATTTTAGGTACAGGATAACCCCTTTTTTGGGGTTATTTTAACTCCTAATTTAACTCCGAATTTGGGGTCATTTTTACTCCTGAAAAAGAGTTCTTTTTACTCCCAGTCTTGGAGTTAAAATTACTCCGAAATGGGGTTACTTGTACTCCTTACAGGGGTTCTTTTTACTCTTTTTGGAGTTAATTTAACTCTGAAAGTGGAGTAAAAATTTTAGGTACAGGATAACTCCTTTTTTGGGGTTATTTTAACTCCTCAATATCTGGGGTCACTTTTACTCCTGAAAAAGAGTTCTTTAAACTCCTTTTTGGAGTTAAAATAACTCCACGAAAAATAACTCCACTGTAAGGAGTTAAATTAGCCCCACTAGAGGAGTTATTATAACTCCCTGAAAATTACAGTGTAATAACCTGTTTAATTATCCTAGATAGACAAGACGGTTTAACTGGAGAAAATATTTTGGAGTTCTCCCTCCCGCCCACCCTATAGAATGCTGTAACTCGGAAAAAGTTTGGAAACAAACGTTTAACGCCGTACGTTCTTTGTGGGGTGGGGGAGAGGGGTAGGGCATGTGTGAAAAAGAGAAAAAATAGCTCATCGGCTGTCATAAAAATGACTTTATAAACGTTCTTTCTGGTCATTAAATATGGGTCTCCTTAAATGAATCTAGAAGATCGATTGTGAATACAGAAACCAAAAAGGGGTCAAAAACATGAGTTTCCGCAGCTTTTTACTAATTGAAAAAAAAACTTATTTTCTTACAGATAGTTAACTTGAAAGCTCCGTATGAAACAAATTGTACAAACAGATCACTGGACATGTTCAACAGCGATGTTTATGCCTACACAAAGAGAGCCTGCATGATAAAATGCCGCAATGATTACACTGTCAAAAGATGCGGCTGTACACCGCCTGAATTTAAAGGTATAGTAATGGCTCTTCATTTTTTACATTAAGCTGCCTTTGTGGACGTTTAATATCCGTAAGCGAGCGAGTTCACTGAATCATGAGATTTGCCGTTACTGAAAACAACAATACCTCTTCCGATAGACCAAGATGGTTTCCTTAGATAAAATTGAGATTAATTTTTTAACAGTTGGCCTGGATAACAAATATTTTTTTCTGAGTTCTTGTCTTAATTGCCACTTTTTGACTTAAGAATTTCGCTCGCTCTTATACGGGTCCGGGAAGCCGGACACCTTCATAGAGGACTTTTGATAAGGCAAAATTAAGAAGATATTATAGCAACAAGTTGCTAAAATAGAATTAAAAATATGTAAAGGAAGAATTTATTAAAGGATATTAAAATAACGTTATCGGAATAAATTTGTTTATTTTCTTTTTGAAGCGGATGCTCCGATTTGTGCGCTGAATGACTCTGTGCTCTGCGTTTACAATTCCTATGGTGAGTCTGTATTAGGGGGGATCACGTTATAGTCGTTTTCGTGTTAATTATCACTCTTATCGTGAGTGATAAACACGTTTATCAGGATTAAATACATGTAACGGACGTTCAGCGCCAAGCCCATGTATATGTGCAAGCTGCTGCCAGGTGTGAGTCATAATGCGATTCTAGCCAGCTGACGCGTTGAACACGATTGTAAGATTTCTTGTCCCATCCCTCCCTCCTTGAGGGTATCGCGCGGTGGTCTAGGCTATAAAAGGAACCCCAAAGAGAGTTGTTGTGTATTTAATACTATATAATGATAGATTGACCAAACTACTGGTGCAAGGTAACCTCTTAAGAAATGAGCTAATCTGAGTTAAATTTATTCAATGATATATTATATATTTCATTGTAGAAGAGTTTGGAGCCTCTAGTGAAAAAGAATCTTGTGACAAGAACTGTCCTGAACCTTGTGAACATGTGGAATACGAGACTTCCTTCTCTTACAGCGCATTGCAGCCCGAAAGCTTCGTCGATCATCTCATGGATTTCCTTAAGAGCAATGACACGTCAGTGGATCGAGCGATTTACGAGCCCCTGTTGAACATGACACCATCTGAGCGAGAGAGATACATTGAGTGAGTGCTTTACTTAGACTGGTATCTCCAACTGAATGAGGAAATACGTGAACTAATGTATATTAGTAAGCTTCTCTTGTGGAAAAGAGAGGGCGAACAAACAAACCAAAAAGCTGGTTGTTTTGCAGTCTAGTGGAAGAAGTGTAACCCGGCAAACAAATGCAAACTGGCAGATTATAGAAGCAAGAAACGAACGGATCTGGTTTGAAATTACTCTGTTCGCTCTTTGCTATCCATTCGTAGTTTGCTTAGTTTGCCATCACAGATACTCCAGGCAGAGGGAGGATACAATTGTCTAGTATCTGTGGAACTGAGACTCCAATCGGAGGCAAATGGAGTACAAACCTCGGGTACACTTAAAAACACTCATTACTTTGAAAACAACCAATCCTTAACGTGATTTGTTTTTGTTTCGTGTTTCCTAACTTAAAAATTAATTTTCTTCATCTGTGAATTTTTTTTAATCCAGAAAGAACATAATTTCCTTGGACTTCTATTTTGAAGATCTGAGCTACGAAATCATTGAACAGACGCCTGTTTACGAGACCTGGACGATGATCGGTAAGACTCGCTCATGAGTTGAAAACTTAGCACATTGTTATAACTGAACTTACAGTTATCAATCTTAAGCATTCTCGCCATTTTCCTGAAACGTCCGAGGGGAGCCTTGAGGCCGAATGGCAAACAGTTTACCACGCAGAATTATCAGTGGAGACCCCTGAAGGAGTCGCGAAATGATCGAGTAGCGTATGACCTTCCACCTCTGCAAAGGTTCCGCTACATTCCATTTAAAAATGCGCGATTTACGATCCCCTGCAAACTTTATTATATTCCTCTCCCCAACCTCCCGAAGACACAAAGAGAATTTCTGGAGGATCAGACTGAGGAAAAGGTTTATGGCAGGCACTACCATGTATCCCCATGTATACTATACTTCCTGTAATTTTTTTTTAAATTAGCCTCCGAGGCCTATCACTTTCCTTTGTTTTGTCAGGGTCGAATCTTGCATTATTTATTATTTATTGTATAGGAAGCCTGGGTGGGACATTTGGTCTGTTCCTCGGAATGAGTTTGCTCACCATTTTAGAGTTCCTTGACTTCATCTTCGCAAGGATTTGTCACTTACTTCAAGGTCTCCACTCTGGCAACAGACATACTGGAACCATTCATGCAGAGTTTTGAGAATCTTTATTGATGCCATGGGATTATAAACTGTACAATTCACTGACCATTTGTCAATCAGTTACATGTAAAAAGTATTTCATGCAGGGGGGTGGGGAGGGAGGGTGGGTGGGGCACTCCGTTATTTGACCGGTATATGCGCCGCTGAACAGGGTACGATTTTCTGGGTCTAAAACCAGGGTATAAAATTTCACTATTTGGCATGTTGAACAAATTGTCTTTTTGGACGGGAAGTTGGAGAAGAGAGGTCTAAAGGCGTGCTGCCAAAAAAACATTCCCGAATTAAATGTTAAGGTTATGAAATACGGTTCTTCTCAGTTATTTAGGTTAGACTGGAAATGAATGCGTTTCGTCTTAAACAGGTTCAGGGTCTCAAGACCTCAGATCTCTAACCATCTCTTAAATCTCTAACCAAATTCTCCCTTGCGTGCTTCCTGGAAACTATGGATAGCCGCCGGTGGGTCTTCTTAGACCAACCGTTGGACCCCACTTTCATGTAACCAGGCCCTTATATACTTAATATTACTTCTTATCCCTTTCTAAAGGACTATTACTTATTTTCGCACTGTTCACACCAGTTTAAACACAGCACGAATCAAGTCCGAGGTCGGATCAAGTTAAGACTCGTCTAACAGGCGCAAGAGTTTCCTCATTATAAATTAACTGATACCAAATGTACTTACGGCGAAACAGAATCTTCGCGGAGTAATTTTGGAAAGGATACATGATTTCACCGTTTACATCAGCCATGTGTTGCTTCCAAAATCTTGGACAACTTTTCTCCATAATTTAAATTAAACCCGTTCGGAAGGAAAATAGGTTGGACATGTGATGAAAGGGTGTAATTAAGACAGTTAATAAAGGTGGGATTTAGGAGGTATGATTTTGAAAACCCTCCTCCTTCAATCAGTTAGTAAGAATTCAACTTACCAGAACTGAAAATCTATTAATTAACAGGTCTAATGCTATTGTGTGAATTATTACAACCGCTGTATAATCTTTTTTCGTTTTGTTCGAATCTGTAATATTGTTATATACTTTCAGTCTCTTAGTTTTAAAATTTGTTTTAAAACATGTGTTGTGTTAATAAATGACTATTACAAAAAAAAAACAAAAGACAAAAAACAAAACGAGGTTGCCAAGGAATGCTTTAGTTAGAAAAGCAGTTGCAAACCCAATGGAGTAAGCGACTCGAAGTGATGTCAGAAATTCAGGCGACATTATGCCTCTAATACGTTATTTGACAAAGCATGCAGTTAAAACTGCAAACAACGAAAAAAAGGGCAAATTTAAGTATTGCCACAATAAGAATCGTTTACACTCTAGGCATTCTAGGCATTTTTTAAGCGGATGGTGTCAGCGGCGTAGCAGCGGTGCTTCAGCAGTAGCCACGCCCCGAAAAATGGCGCCGGTTGTGAAGTATAAACAAAATGCCAATCCGGTGCGGTTTTAGATTGGCATAACATAGGGATAGGAAGAAGAGAGGGCCTCCTTTACTCTCGAGTTCTTCGATTCGGAGTTAGCAACTTCCTAGATCATTTCCAAGGCAGGTCAATTAACTGCAGACTTTGAGCAGTTTAGTAATTTTCGCCCTGTATCAAATTTAAAGTTCCTATTAAAATCAGCGTACAATTGAATAGCTTTTGGCAAAGCACACGAGCCTCTTCAATCAGCGTACAAGAGTTTTCACACGAGACTGCACTTTACAGTTACAAATGACATTATGCTGTCATTGGATAAGGGCGAGAATGTTTTCCTTGTTTTATTGGATCTGTCGGCAGCATTTGATACCGTTAACCATTCCTTGCTGCTGGCACGACTGCAGAAATCACTTGGCATCAGAGGAACTGTACTGCAATGGTTCAATTCTTATCTTTCTAAAAGAACTCAGTTTGTAAACATCAATGAGGCGAATTCTACGGTACGAGATCTTCCCTTGGGTGTTCCCCTGGGTTCAGTTCTGGGACCTGTTCTCTACCTTCTGTATACTGCGCCACTTGCTAAAGTGATAAGATCTTTTGGCTTAGATTATCATCTATTCGCCGACAATACTCAGTTATACTTTGCATTCAAATCGGTGGATGTGCTAAATCGAGGGTCGAGAACTGCATTTCTGCAATATGTCGCTGGATGGATCTCAACGAATTGAAGCTTACCCACGACAAGACGGAGATCATGCTTATCCACTCAAAGCATCGTCCCTCTCCATCCTTTCAGTCCTTATGTGTTGGTGATGAGAGCGTGGCTGCCTCTCAGTCGGCTAGGAGTCTTGGTGTTATCTTTGATGAGTACATGTCTTTTCATGCACATGTGTCTAGCATCTGTAGATCATCATTTTATCATCTCAGGAACCTATCTAGAATTTGGAAGTATTTCACTAAAGAATCAGCAGAAGTTGCTGTTCATACATTTGTCACATCGAAACTAGATTACTGTAATGCATTATTATACGGCCTACCTAAGTATCAGTTACAAAGATTGCAGTATGTACAAAACACGGCGGCTAGAGTTGAGTGAGTAAGTTTCAGTAAGTGAGTAAGTTTCAGCATATCACACCTGTTTTGTGTGAGCTTCACTGGCTACCGATTCAATATCGTATTATTTTCAAGATTCTGCTCGTCGTGTATAAATCACTGAATGGGACATCGCCTAGCTATTTAGCTCAAAAACTATATTATCGTTCTCATACTAGATCATTGAGGTCTGTTAGTAATGAACTTTTAATGCAACCTAGATCGTATACCAAGACCTACGGAGATAGAGCATTCGCTGTTCATGCACCAAGAGAATGGAACTTAATACCCTATGAAATTCGGAAGTCCAACACCATCTCGAGTTTTAAAAGATCACTTAAGACGTACTTGTTTACTAAATTCAGTAATAACGGATCATTGTTTTTCTAGATTTGTATATATTGCGTTAGTTTTAATTTTTCCCTTTCTTTTATCATTATGAATATGGTTGAATAGTTGCTTTAGTTCTAATTTTTCCTTTTTTACCCATTGTAAATATAATAGGATATGGTTGTAAATTTGTAAATATTTTTCAATAATGTTGTTTACATGACTGTAAAGCGCCTTGAACATAGGATAAGAGCGCTATAGAGTTATTATTATTATTATTATTATTATTATTATTAGGTTGTGTTCACTCAACACGGCCTGTCATGGAACCTTACGAATAAAATTGACAGAGTATTATGCACAACATATTTAACTGTGCTCCGGAGTATTTGACATCAAAGCTCGTTGGAAGATCCGCCGTCTCGACAAGTGTTTATTCAGGCAAAAGCTTCTTAATGACTGCTTTATTTAATTAATTTAATTAATTTTATTGACCTTTGTCTTCTTTTATCATTGTTATATTCTTATTGTCATGTACTTGGTTTATAATTTTGTAACGTAAAATTGACTCTGAAAAGCCCCGTGGGGACGAGCCAATAAAGTATGTATGTATGTATGTATGTAACTACCTCACCTCTTCCCTTTAGTACAGAGCAACCTCCGACAGTTGCCCATTACAAGAGGAGGTTTTACTGGAATATCAATTTCGTTCAAGCGACGTTTCTAATGAAAAGATTGTTTTATTTCTTCTTAATAATTAAGTCAAAGATTACTTATTGAAGGGAACCGATCAGAATTCATTGAGGATCGAATAAAAGAAACTACGAGCTAAGAACTTCCAGGATGCAATTAAATTAAGCAGCACTTCAGCTGGATCCATGCAGCTAGTTCTAATTCCCAATTGCTTGACTCTTTAACCCATTCGCCCCTGAACCGCCCCTAACCGCCCGTGCGGATCCAGGTCCTTTCTACCCTTTGTGACGTCATCAGTTTTAACGCTCAAGGATAACTTTCTTCGCTAACTTATGCAGAGTGAAGAGACCTTTCAAACCATACCAGAATGAGCACAATTCAGTCAAGGACACCGGAGAAAGAAGCAAAAAACCACGTGACATTGACCTGAAAATCTCCATGAAAATCTTGTTCCATTACCCACCTACCTTTCCTTTCACCTAATCCTAAGATCCTAAAAAGCTTTCCTAAAAAACTCTTCCCACCAAAATAAAGCCTGCTAAATGCCCAACGTTTTTCGGCAAAATCTCCCCAATATACACATACAAATTCTCCAAACTGACCTCCATACATTTCTTTACAGAATGTGTTGAAAATTTTATAAAAGACCAATGCATTTTATTTTTAATTTTGGTGATCATTTTTTCAATTCTCGTAACCTTGTCTCTTGACAAGGTATGGATATCGTGAGGAGAAAATTGATGTTGCCACTATTGGGACTTAAAGGGTTAAGCGAAAAACTTCAACGGCCAGTAAACACACAGTAAAGTAGAAAAGTGAATCAAAGCAAGACAATATACTATAGTGTTTCGGTAGTCCGGGTTAATCATGCGGTACTTACACTCAAATCTTCTAACAACAAAATCAATGTCGACACCAAAGGGGCAAAGCTGGCCTGCGAATATTGTATACAATTTCTTAAAAACAACAGTTTTCCGTATTAACATGTTATAGTGCATTTGTCACAGGGTCTCAGTTTAATGTGGTTGTTTTACCGCATGTTCAGATATGCACTTTTTAAAGCAATTTTCTTGTGATACTACCACTATGAGTATCGGAATGGATCGATCAGTGTAACTGCTTGATGGTACTACAGTTTTCTATAAAGCTGTCACGTATGAAGAAAGGAAAAAAATAAATGCAAATTTGAATTAAAGGCAAAACATGTATCAACAATCACAGTTCATCCAAGTCACTGATACATTTGGTTCTGCCAGGAAAAAACTGGTGGAAAAAAAAGTTTACCATCAACAAGGCTTTGGTCCTTAACCTCGACTTCAAAACTGTACCATAGTAATGATTTATTCCAACTCTGCGTTCGTTGAATTGATTATTTTTATTATTGATTCCTAACTAGGCAGTTGGCAAATCAAACAACCGTAGAACCCTCTAAAAAATGCCATTAAAATATGGGAAAAAAGTTCAGTTGCATTTACTCAAGTTTCTTATGCCTTGACACATCGAAGTGAATAACATCTTTCGACTGGTTCTACATGTTGAGCCTACACGTAGGGTGAAACCCTAAAGTATTATGATAAACTTTAAGCATTTGGTGGTTTGATGGATTAAGGAATAAGGGGAGGGGGGGGGGGATTTTACCTTTATTTAAGTACCAAGTTTAATTTGCCTATTCGCCTGAAGTTCTTCAGGAAAAAATCAACTCTTTCAGATTTTTAACACTTTCAAACACGACGAGCATCTTAATTGGTCATCAATTACAGCAGTTATCCTAGAGAACGTTACTAAGATCTACCAGATAATTGTAATTTGTAATATAAGTTCTTTCATCGAGTTGTAAAACTCCACAGCCGAGCCGTACCACAAACAGGCCCATCTTCCTCCGTATCTCTTTTTTATCAAATTGAACGTCTGTCCCAGAGACCTTGAAAAGTCCAAGCTCCTGTTATTACGTTGAACGACGCTGTTATTGTATCTCCTAAAGAGTGCACATGCTTGATCATCTATTAACAGAATTCCTGTCTTGAATGATTTGATCATTAACCAACAAAAGCGTTCGTCACTGAGTTCACTGTTAGCACCAGGAGAAGAACGGCGAGCGATGCTGGAAGCTTTGAGTAAAGGCATGACTCTGGCTTCTCAACCTATCTCCAGCGTCGACTTTCTTTCTTTCTACAATAACAACAGGCATCTGTACAAGCTGAAGAGGAGATTTCTTGTCTCGCAGAGCTTGAGTTAAGTTTAAGATCTGAAAATAATGAGACAGAAAATCACAGAAAGGAAGAAAGAGGTTAGCTTAGTTGACGAGAACCTGACAAGATGTTTAACGTTGTAGACCCAATCACTCACACACACCTAAGACGAGTAAATCTTGAGAAAACAAAAAAATCCATAACAACTAGTTACGGACCAGAAACAGTTTCCGTGAAAGTTGCAACGCATCAATATTGCTCTGGTCGGATTTGCAGGCGTTTACAATGTGTGCAATGTAAGTGTACAATGAAAATATAACAATCGTCAAGATGATGAGGGGTAAAAAGGCGGAAAATGAAAAGAAAAATGAACCGCGTTATTTTACTAAATCTGTTGCTAATCCTACAAGAACAAATTTAAGTATATTTGGAAAATTCTCAGTGAGAGTCAATAATATTGAATGACTTCCTGTAGGACGTGCCTCTATTTTTTGTAGTCGTGTTTTAATGACTGGAAATTAATACAGGAAAAAATACCTTACCTGTCCCCGTAGCACTGACATTTGGCGTTCAAACAAAGATTTATCAAAGCCCTTATCCTCCTGTTAAGGAAAAAAAGGACAATAATCACTATCAGTAGAAAAAGACATGTTACTTCATTTCTATTCACACTTTTCTACCCAGTATAATCTTGCAGAGTACATACCCGAAAAAGAAGGTAAAGATCATCCGTTAGATCCTGTACAAAATTCATATCGGAAAGAAGCGGTAAAATAAGCTCACATATCTCGTTCAAAAATGGCTCTTTAGCTTGTGTTAGCCATGCCCAGTGAAATGGATCTGTGTGATAAAAGGAATATGTTTAAATAAAGATATGATCGTCGTAGTGGCAATTGCAATTTAAGCAATAGCAAATTAACCTGAAAATATTTCGGGACTTTAAAGGGATTCGAACCCATGGCCTCTGCGTTAGCAATGCAGTGCTCTACCAACGGAGCTATGCAGACCCATGCATTGGGAGCAGGCAAATTGGTTGAGTTCATTCCTTTCGCGGGTTAAATTGGCCTGCTCCCAATGTATGGGTCTCCATGGCTCATTTGGTAGAGAGCGCTGCAGCGCTAACGCAGAGGCCATGGGTTCGATACTCAGCGGATACCTTAACCCGAAAATATTTCGGGACTTTAACAGGATTCGAACCCATGGCCTTTGCGTTAGCGCTGCAGTGCTCTACCAACGGAGCTATGCAGACCCATACATAGGGAGCAGGCAAATTGGTTGAGTTCATTCCTTTCACAGGTTAAGATGAACTCAACAAATTGGCCTGCTCCCAATGTATGGGTCTTTATGGCTCAGTTGGTAGAGAGCACTGCAGCACTAATAGACTGCGAGCAGTCTCTCTTTTTCTTCAGATTTAGTAAGGGATGTGCACGCCCGCGCGAGTGTTGAGCGGCGAAACCGCGAGACGCAAGAAACGAGGGCGGCAGCCTCTCCCGTCTCGCGCCTTCAGTCACGCGCGTGGTCATTTGCGTGTCTCGGGCGTTTTGCTCGACGGACCAAGGAAAAAGAGAGACTGCTTGTAGTCTACAGCGCTAACGCAGAGGCCATGGGTTTGAATCCCGTTCAAGTCCCGAAATTTTTTGGGGTTAATTTGGAATTGCTTAAATTGTAATTACCACTTCGACGATCATATCTTCATTTAAATTTGTATTTCCGCAGTTCAGATCATCTTCAAAAAAAAACATAGTAACGCAAACATATATCTACGCAAGGCCTTCTTGACATGTACTTTCTTGTCTTTATAATCCAAAAACGTCTTATTCAGCAAAGATATCATAGAAAAACATTTTTTCAAATCAATATACTTACAAGCACGCCAAGAGTCAGGGTGTTTGAAAGGAAAAGCCAGTCCATTGTCAATAGCAGCCACATATATTTTGGGAGGATCCACATAATCCCAGTCACCCTGTTAACAAAAGAGTTCGTTCATAAAGTATTTAATTTATTTATTGAAATAATATATTTCACTGTTTCCGATTGACTTCAAATCCCCTGGCTAATTCTTCATAACCAGCCAGCTCTGACCAAATTTGGTAGACTTTTGTGAATATCAATTAAAACATCGTCAATAATAAACAACTATCCCCTGAAGGGGAGGTGAATAGTGGTGGATATACCGAGAGGTGAAGCGTCGAGTTATATATATCTAGCGCTGTTCACCGACCATGAGGGGGATAGTTGTTTTCGTATTTACCAAACTCAGTTGGATATAAATGAAAAAACTAACTTTTTATAAATAAAAAACGTCACTTAGTAGGAGCTTTGTTTACAATTTACACACATTTCGGGGATTTTGTCAAGTGCATTTTTATAATTTTGTTGCAAATTCAGCATGAAAATAATTTTCTAACTACCAGTAAACACTGACAAGCCAACGTTCCTCGCTTTCTTCGTATTTGTATGTATGGTTGCCACCTTGGCTCCGGTCGCAAAACAGTGAATAAGGCCGAGGATATTCCGAGTTACAGGAGCCAATCAAAACGCACAGAAACTGTTATTCACTGATTTAGTAAATACTAATACAGGATATTGCCAGAGAAGAGATAGCACCCGAAAAGTGCCGCCTCCTCTTATCCCCCCCCCCCCCCCCCCCCCCCCCCCAACAAACCTCTCCCCTAAACACAACTACAGACAGACTTACTTGTAACAACAGAGCACCTACATGTAATGGCACACACTGGTCTACTCACCCCTTGTTCACCTTCCACTTGTCTATCTACTTCTGGTGCTCTTTCATACTTTATGGGACAATTATCATTTCCCCGATCTGGAGTGGAAAAGAAGTTTTTTCATTCTACTCTTTATTGTTACCAGCCTCGTTTTCAGCCACTTGAGAATTTCCCACATAATTTGAATTTCCGATCAGAAAAGGCGATCCGGCCAGCCAAGAAGAATTCATCAAATTCTTACTTGTAATATTTGTTTTTAAAAGATCCTAAATGTGTATGAGAGAGAGGGTACAGCAACTCAAACCAAGTCCTGAAAATTTCAGTTTTTCTCATAAATACAGGTTACGTGATTGGAAATGTTTTCGTAGGCAGCTTAAGCAAATACCCTCTAGCTAAGCTGGAGATGTGACTAATTACGATCAACAATTGATGAAATGCTGCAATTTGACCAGGATATACAAAGGACTTCATTTCAGTGCGTCATACATACAGAGCAGCACCTGACTAAGGTGTATTTACGGAAGATGTTAAGTATAAAACAAGGAACATTCAAACAAAAATTTGGTTTTGACGGAGACTCAGATGTCATTTTTGGAAGTGATATAACCTGAAAACACCCTAACTACAGCTGAGTATTGTTAAACTATTAAATAATAATAAAAATAATTATTAATAAATAAAAATAACGTCATTGATGTGGTCTGTTAAGAAACAGAAATCTGCCTTTACTGTGGAGAAAGAGAACTCCTATCACTTGCTATTTAAAGGCTGATGTCTTTTACTTTGAAACATACTAACAGTGGTTTACACTGTTACACGAAGGTAACTTGTGTCTCCACCTGAAACTGAAAGAAATAATTAAACTGAGTTTCAAGTTTGGAAGGTTAGTCTGACAGGTGGACTGAATTGTTATGCAAAACTGCGAGTTTTTCATAAAGGCTTTTAATATCGGAGTGTTTTCTTTGACACTGCTCAGCAGGAATAAAAATCTGAAAAAACAAACAAGAAAGTTAATTTATCTTTTATATTGACATTTAAAAAAGATAAAGTAGAGACTGTCCACGCACGTACAACGAAGGCTTAGACTCACCCGAGTCAGTCAGGTAAAGAACTCAAGGCCTTAATTGTCTCTGCCATCTGTTATTTTTTCTTACGATCTCTATGAGCTAACGTTTCTCAGTAACACAAAATAAATATCTTTATTCCTACTTTTTACTAAATTCTTACTAACTTGCGTGATTAAAAAGTATTGACAAATTACTCGCTTTTGTGAAGACAATTTCCTGCTGTTATTCAGAAATTCAGGCACTTTTAATTACAAAAGAACTACAGGAAAAGTCAACTTTCCATTTAAAGCTTTTGTCATTATATTTCGTTATGTAATTTTCATAACAGTAGGAAGAAAAATACCATGAACTGAACGCTCCTGTGCCAATATATTAATTTTTCCTCAACTTTGACTTGTTCGAGGAAAACCTGCCGCTTAGAGAGGCGGTTTTTTAAATTTTAAATCGCATATCCTGGCCGAGACTCGCTAAAATGAACTCGCAAACTTTGCGTATAATAGAGGCAAATAAGGAAAGTATTGGGATAAAAAGAGTGAGAAATGATACACACTTCCCTCACAACCAAGAAAACAAGAAAGCCGATGAAAAATCTAATGGGGGATTAGAGTCCTTTGCCAATGATACAACCTTACACGGAGCAAGATATTTGTGCGACAAAAACGTCTTCAGGAGAGTTTTGTGGACCTTGGTCCTCATCGGCAGTTTTAGTTTCTGTATTTATCAAGTTTGTGAGACTCTGGTGGCATTTAGTCAGCGACCATTCATTACAAAAGTTTCAACAAGCACAACTGAAACCAACAAGTCTTTTTTCCCCGCTGTGTCGCTTTGTAATCTGAATTCCTTTAACACACGAAGATATAGAGACGTATTAAAATCCCACAATTTCAGTGAGCCTTTCATCGAGAAAAAAATTCAAGACGTGCTTGTTATTGTGAACAAAGACAAAAAGGCATTTAACGATGAGTTTGTCAAGCGAAATCCAGAATTTTTTCAACGTCAAAAAACCGCAAGTGACATTATGGCACAACTGATGCTCAGTCATCAAATCGAAGAAATGCTCCTTCCAGTAAGCCCACAGTTTCATTCTTGCTCTGTAAATGGGAAAAAGTGCACAGCAAATAACTTTACGAGTCACATGAGTTCATTGTACGGATTGTGTTACACATTTAACTCTCTGAAAAGCGGTCGACCGTTACTTTATGCAACGTTATCTGGTAAAAATAGTGGACTAAGGCTTCTACTTAACATAGAAAGGGACAGCTACTTGGCTACTAACATTCGCCCTGCAGTTGGTCTTGCAATTATTATCCACGACCAGAAAAGTTTTCCTTTCATGGACGACTTTGGTACCACCGTGCAGCCAGGCATTTCAACTCTTTGTGCCTTTAGGAAAAGAAAGGTTAGAGACTAGCGAGCTATCATCCGTATTTGTTGCAAAAATAGCGCTATATTAAACAATTATTCCGCGAGCCCGAATAGTCATTGACTCAGCGGCCATGAGGGTGAGAGGAATAGTTGTTTTAGTAAAATCCAAGTAGTTGATCAAAAATATCGAGACAAAACAACTTTAGATAGCAAAACGCGATTCAACCGCCATTGTTTTGGTTTTCAAAGCCGGCGCTTTTCGCTACTAGAGGGCTATAACATATAACCTAGTAGTGACTCAGCCAATCAGAACGCAGCATTGATAATAGACCACTAGTTGTAACTTGTTGTATGTAGCTGTAGTTTTCTTGTATCGCTGTTGTTTTTAATATTTTTTGTTTTTATTTTTTTTATTAGTATCCGGGACCGCTTTAATTGGCCACAGCCAACGTTCTTTCTGTTTGTTTGTTTTATTTTGGCGAAGCTAACAAAATAAAAAGTCAAAAAAAAATAAAGTAACTGTAATTTCTGGGCTCCCTCATAAAACAGTGCAACGTCTTCAAAAATATTTTGGAGTTCTCCCTCTCGCCCACCCTATAGAATGCTGTAACTCGGGAAAAGTTTGGAAACAAAGGTTTAAAGCCGTACGTTCTTTGTGGGGTGGGGGAGAGGGGTAGGGCATGAGTGAAAAAGAGAAAAACTAGCTCATCGGCTGTAATAAAAATGACTTTATATAAGTTCTTTCTGGTCGTTAAATATGGGTCTCCTTAAATGAATCTAGAAGATCAATTGTGAATCCAGAAACCAAAAAGTGTCATGAACATGAGTTTCCGTAGCTTTTTACTAATAAGCAAAAACCACTTATTTTCTTGCAGATAGTTAACTTGAAAGCTCCGTATGAAACAAATTGCACAAACAGATCACTGGACATGTTCAACAGCGATGTTTATGCCTACACAAAGAGAGCCTGCATGATAAAATGCCGCAATGATTACACTGTCAAAAGATGCGGCTGTACACCGCCTGAATTTAAAGGTATAGTAATGGCTCTTCATTTTTTACATTAACCTATCTTTGTGGATGTTTAATATCCGCAAGCGAGCGAGTTCACTGAATGATGAGATTTACCGTTACTGAAAACAACAATACCTCTTCCGATAGACCAAGATAGTTTCCTTCGATCATGAAAATTGAGATTAGTTTTTTAACAGCTGGCCTGGATAATAAATATTTTTTTCTAAGTTCTTGGGTTAATTGCCACTTTTTGAAATACATCTGTATGCAGCAAAAACAGCATGCTAAGAGATTTTCACAATAACTTTAGAATTTCGCTCGCTCTTATACGGAGAAGCCGGACACCTTCATAGAGGACTTTTGATAAGGCAAAATTAAAAAGATATTCTAGCAACAGATTAATAAAATAGAATTAAAAATATGTGAAGGAAGAATTTATTAAAGGATATTAAAATAACGTTATCGGACTAAATTTGTCTATTTTCTTTTTGAAGCGGATGCTCCGATTTGTGCGCCGAATGACTCTGTGCTCTGCGTTTACAATTCCTATGGTGAGTCTGTATTAGGGGGGTTCCTCGTTATAGTGGTTTTCGTGTTAATTATCTCTCTTATCGTGAGTGATAAATCTGTTTATCAGGATTAAATACATGCGACGGAAGTTCAGCGCCAAGCCCATGTATATGTGCAAGCTGCTGCCTTTAGTGAGGCATTATGCTATTCTAGCCAGCTGACGTGTTGAACACGATTGTAAGATTTCTTGTCCCATCCCTCCCTCTCTGAGGTTATCGCGCGGTGGTCTAGGCAATAAAAGGAACCCCAAAGAGAGTTGTTGTGTATTTAATACTAAATAATGATAGATCGACCAAACTACTGGTGCAAGGTAACCTCTTATGAAATGAGCTAATCTGAGTTAAATTTATTCAATGATATATTATATATTTCATTGTAGAAGAGTTTGGAGCCTCCAATGAAAAAGAATCTTGTGACAAGAACTGTCCTGAACCTTGTGAACATGTGGAATACGAGACTTCCTTCTCTTACAGCGCATTACAGCCGGAAAGCTTCGTCGATCATCTCATGGATTTCCTTAAGAGCAATGACACGTCAGTGGATCGAGCGATTTACGAGCCCCTGTTGAACATGACACCATCTGAGCGAGAGAGATACATTGAGTGAGTGCTTTACTTAGACTGGTATCTCCAACTGAATGAGAAAATAATATGTTAAGTAATGTATACTAAACTTTCCTTGTGGAAAAGAGAGGGCGAACAAACACACAAAAAAGCTGGTTGTTTTGCAGTCTAGTGGAAGAAGTGTAACCCGGTAAAAAAAACTGACAGATTGCAACACAAACAAGAAACGAACAGATCTGGTTTAAATTACTCTGTTCGCTCTTTGCTATCCATTCGTAGTTTGCTTAGTTTGCAATCACAGATACTCGTGGCAGAGGGAGGATACTTAATCAGTCGTAATAAATGGAGGTAATGGACACAACAATTGTGTAGTATCGATGACCTGAGAGCCCAACCGTAGGCAGCTTGAGTACCAACCTCGGATACACTTTCTGTTTCTTTTCCCTAAATGGAAAATTAATTTTCTTCATCTGTGATCTTTTTTTAAATCCAGAAGAAACATAATTTCCTTGGACATCTATTTTGAAGATTTGAGCTACGAAATCATTCAACAGACACCTGTTTACGAGACCTGGACGATGATCGGTAAGTCTGGCTCACTTGAAAACTTAGCAAATTGTCATAACTGTAGTGAACTCAGTTACAATTATCAATTAATCTTTAGCATTCTCGCCATTTTCCTGAAAGGTCCGAAGGGAGGGAAGAGGCCAAATGGTAGACAGTTTACAACGCAGAATTATCAACTGCGACTAAGGAGATGCGAAATGATCAAGTAGCGTAAAACCTTTCAAGTCTGCAAAGTCTCCACTACAGGCTCCACCACATTTCAATTAAAATTGCGTGATTTACGATGGGAAGATCCCCTTCGAACTTCATTGCATTCCTCTCCCCATTCTCCCTAAGATACAAAGAGGCTCTGGGGAAAAGAGATTGAGGAAGAGGTTTATGGCAATCACTACCATGTCCATGTATGGTCATGTATACTATACAATTAGGACCACGAAATGCAGGTTGGAATGTCTGCATATTACCCTACCATTACCAACTGTTTCTCCTTAACTCCTCGCAACTACTCACGCGACTCGCTTGGCTCGCTCGGTCTCGGACTTTGATAACAAAGGAAACAGAAAACAAAAGAAACTTCCAGCCTATAATTTGTTTTAAATCAGCCTCCGAGGCCTATCACTTTCCTTTTTTTGAGTCAAGACCGAATCTTGCATTATTTATTATTTATTGTATAGGAAGCCTGGGTGGGACATTTGGTCTGTTCCTTGGAATGAGTTTGCTCACCATTTTAGAGTTCCTTGACTTCATCTTCACGAGGATTTGTCACTTACTTCAAGGTCTCCACTCAGGCAACCGACATACTGGAACCATTGATGCAGAGTTTTGAGAATCTTTATTGATGAACATATATAAACTGTACATTTCACTGACCATTTGTCAATCAGTTACATGTTATTTGAAATGAACTCAGGAAGTATTTCATGGAGGGGGCGGGGAGGGAGGGTGGGTCCCTTATTTGACCGGTATGTACTTGTGCCACTGAAAAGGGTGTGATTTTCTGGGTCTTGAGTCTAAAAACAGAGTATAAAATTTCACTATTTGGCATCTTGAACCGATTGTCTTTTTGCACAGGAAGTTGGAAAAGAGAGGTCTATATGTTTGTTACCAAAAACTTCCCCCAATTAAATGTTAACCCGAATCGAAATGATTCAAGGTTATGAAATAAGGTTCTTCTCAGTTATTTAGGGTAGACTGGAAATGAATGCTTTTCGTCTTAAACAGGGTCAGGGTGTTGAGACCTCAGCGACACATCGCTACCCATATTCCCCTTTGCGTGTTTCCCGAAAACTATGGATAGTTGGTGGGTGGGATCCCCACCTCCATGTGAACAGGCCTTATATACTTAATATTACTTCGTACCCATTTCTTAAGGACTATTACTACAGTGTTAACACCAGTTTATAAATCGCAGAACGAATCATTAAGTTAGAGGTCGAATCTAGTTAAGATTCGAAAGTAAAGTTCGAGGCGAATATATCTTTCCTCTAGTTCTACAGTGGAACCCTGCCTTACGACCACCCCGTTTATAAGACCACCTCGTTATTACGGCCATATTCTTTCAAACCAAACGTAAAAACCATTGAGTCATTTTACTATTTTGACGACCCCGTTAATGCGACCACCTCGTTATTACGACCAGGATTTTATGGCCCAACGGTGGTCGCATTAACGGGGTTCCACTGTAATTCTTACAGGCGCAAACAGAATTGTCGCGAAGTAATTTAGAAAGGATACATGATTTCACCGTTTCAGCCAAGTGTTGCTTCCAAAACCTTGGACAACGTTTTTCCATAAATTAAGCTCGTGCGGAAGGAAAATAGGTTGGATATGTGATGAAAGTGTGTAATTAAGACAATAAATAGAGGTGGGATTCAGGAGGTTTTATTCCTAGTAAAACCCCTTCCTTCAATTAGTTAGTAAGAATAAAACTTACCGGAAAAATCTGTTATTTAACAGGTCTAATGCTATTGTGTGAATTATTACAACTGCTGTATTATTCTTTTTCGTTTTCATGTAATTTTGTTCCAATCTGTAATATTGTTATATACTTTCCTTAGTTTTAAAATTTGTAACTGTAACATGTGTTGTGTAAATAAACGACTATTACAAATAATAAAAAAAAAGGTTGCCAAGGAGTGCTTTTTTAGAAAAGCAGTTGCAAACCCAGTGGAGTCAGCGACTCGAAGTGATGTCGGAAATGCAGGGTACATTATATATACCCATGATACGTTATTTTGACAAAGCATGAAGTTAAAACCGCAAAAAAACGAAAAAGAGGACAAATTTAACTACTGCAGCAATAAGACTCGTATACACTCTAGGCATTTTTTTAGCGTATTGTGCTGAACGGCGTAGCAGCGGTGCTTCCGCAGTAACCACGCCCCGAAAAATGGCGCCGGTTGTGAAGTATGTATAAACAAAATGCCAATCTGGTATGGTCTTAGATTGGCATAACATAACAGGGATAGGAAGAAGAGAGGGCCTCCTTTACAACTCTCGAGTTCTTCGATTCGGAGTTAGCAACTGCCTAGATCTTTTCTAGGCAAGTTGTGTTCACTCGGCACGGCCTACCACGTAGAATACGATTAGTCCCCCATTTTTCCTCAGGGATAGTAGAGCGAGCGAAACGCGCGCGCGCGTGAAAATCACCCCACGCGAGAAAAGGCGACCGGCGGGTGCACCGTGTGAGGACAAATGAGGGACTACTCGTAGTCTACCTGCCACGGAACCCAACGCATAAAATTGAAACAGTACTATGCACAACATATTTAACTAACTTCATTAAAATATCCTAATATTTTTTTGCTTTTATCATACCTCTTGCCTTTAGTACAAAGCAACCTCCGACAGTTGCCCAGTACAAGAGGAGGTTTTACTGGAATATCAATTTCGTTTCAAGCGACGTTTCTAAAGAAAAGATTGTTTTATTTCTTTTTAATAATTAAGTCACAAATTACTCATTGAAGTGAACCGATCAGAATTCATTGAGGACCGAATAAAAGAAACTACGAGCTAAGAACTTCCAGGATGTAATTAAGTTAAGCAGCACTTCAGCCGGATCCATGCAGATGGTTCTAATTCCCAATTGCTTAACCCTTTAAGCCCCAGTATACACATACAAATTCTCCAAACTGATCTCCATACATTTCTTTACAGAGTGTGTTGAAATTTTATAAAAGATCAATGCATTTTCAGTTTTTCATTTTGGTGATTATTTTTTCAATTCTCGTAACCTTATCTCTTGACAAGGTATGGATATCGTTAGGAGAAAATTGATGTTGGCCACTATTGGGACTTAAAGGGTTAAGCGCAGAAACTTCAATGGCCAGTGAACACACAGTAGAGTAGAAAAGTGAATCAAAGCAAGATAATATACTAAATAGTGTTTCTGTGGTCCGGACTTACACTCACATCGTCTAACAACAAAATGAATGTCGACACCAAAGGGGCAACGCTGGCCTGCGAATATTGTATACAATTTCGTTAAAACAACAGTTTTCCGTATTAACATGTTATAGTGCATTGTCACAGGGTCTCAGTTTAATGTGGTTGTTTTACCGCATGTTCCGAGATGCACTTTTTAGAGCAATTTTCTTGTGATACTACCACTATGAGTATTTAAGTGTATGATGCGGAATGGATCGATCAGTGTAATTGCTTGATGGTTCTACAAATTTCTATAATACTGTCATGTATAAAGAAAGGAGAAAAATAAATGCAAATTTGAATTAAAGGCAAAGCATGCATCAACAATCACAGTTCATTCAAGTTACTGAGGATACAGTTGGTTCTGCCAGGAAAAAACTGATGGAAAAACAGTTTAACATCAACAAGGCTTTGGTCCTTAACCTCGACTTCAAAACGGTACCATAGTAATGATTTATTCCAACTCTGCCTTCGTTGAATTGATTATTTTTATTATTGATTCCTAACTAGGCAGTTGGCAAATCAAACAACCGTAGAACCCTCTAAAAAAATGCCATTAAAATATGGGAAAAAACTTTCAGTTGCATTTACGCAAGTTTCTTATGCCTTGACACATCGAATTGAATAACATCTTTCGACTGGTTCTACATGTTGAGCCTATACGTAGGGTGAAACACAAACGTATCATGATAAACTATAAGCATTTGATGGTTTGATGGATTAAGGAATAAGGTGGGGGAAGGGGGGGCGAATTTTACCTCTATTTAAGTACCAAGTTTAATTTGCCTATTCGCCTGAAGTTCTTAAGGAAAAAATCAACTTTTTCAGATTTTTATCACTTTCAAACACCAGGAGCATGTTACTTGGTCATCAATTACAGCAGTTATCTTAGAGAACGTTAGTAAGATCTACCAGATAATTGTAATTTGTAGTGTAAGTTCTTCTTCAACTCGACAGCCGAGCCGTACCACAAACAGGCCCATGCATCTTCCTTCCTATCTCTTTTTTATCATCTTGAACGTCTGTCCCAGAGACCTTGAAAAGTCCAAGCTCCTGTTATTACGTTGAGCGACGCTGTTATTGTATCTCCTAAAGAATGTACATGCTTGATCATCTATTCACAGAATTCCTGTCTTGAATGACTTGATCATTAACCAACAAAAGCGTTCGTCACTGAGTTCACCGTTAGCACCAAGAGAAGAACGGCGAGCGATGCTGGAAGCTTTGAGTAAAGGCATGACTCTGGCTTCTCAACCTATCTCCAGCGTCGACTTTCTTTCTTTCTACAATAACAACAGGCATCTGTACAAGCTGAAGAGGAGATTTCTTGTCTCGCAGAGCTTGAGTTAAGTTTAAGATCTGAAAATAATGAGACAGAAAATCACAGAAAGGAAGAGAGAGGTTAGCTTAGTTGACGAGGAGCCTGACAAGATGTTTAACGTTGTAGACCCAATCACTCACACCTAAGACGAGTAAATCTTGAGAAAACAAAAAAGTCCATAACAACTAGCTACAGACCAGAAACAGTTTCCGTGAAAGTTGCAACGCATCAATGTTGCTCTGGTCAGATTCGCAGGCGTTTACAATGTGTACAATATAAGTGTACAATGTAAATATAACAATCGTCAAGATGATGAGGGGTAAAAAGGCGGAAAATGAAAAGAAAAATGAACCACGTTATTTTACTAAATCTGTTGCTAATCCTACAAGAACAAATTTAAGTATATTTGGAAAATTCTCAGTGAGAGTCAATAATATTGAATGACTTCCTGTAGGACGTGCCTCTATTTTTTTTGTAGTCGTGTTTTAATGACTGGAAATTAATACAGGAAAAAATATACCTTACCTGTCCCCGTAGCACTGACATTTGGCGTTCAAACAAAGATTTATCAAAGCCCTTATCCTCCTGTTCAGGAAAAAAAGGACAATAATCACTATCAGTAGAAAAAGACATGTTACTTTATTTCTATTCAAAGTTTTCTACCCAATATAATCTTGCAGAGTACATACCCGAAAAAGAAGGTAAAGATCATCCGTTAGATCCTGTACAAAATTCATATCGGAAAGAAGCGGTAAAATAAGCTCACATATCTCCTCCAAAAATGGTTCTTTAGCTTGTGTTAACCATGCCCAGTGAAATGGATCTGCGAGATAAAAGGAATATGTTTAAATGAAGATATGATTGTCGCAGTGGTAATTGCAATTTAAGCAATAGCAAATTAACCTGAAAATATTTCGGGACTTTAAAGGGATTCAAACCCATGGCCTCTGCGTTAGCAATGCAGTGCTCTACCAACTGAGCTATGCAGACCCATACATTGGGAGCAGGCAAATTGGTTGAGTTTATTCCTTTCACCGGTTAAATTGGCCTGCTCGCAATGTATGGGTCTTCATGGCTCATTTGGTAGAGAGCGCTGCAGCGCTAACGCAGAGGTCATGGGTTCGCATCCCGATGAAGTCCCGAAATTTTGGGTTAATTTGCAATTGCTTAATTTGCAATTACCACTGCGACGATCACATCTTCATTTAAATTTGTATTTCCGCAGTTCAGATCATCTTCAAAAACAACATAGTAATGCAAACATGCATGTACGCCAGTGCTGAGCTCTTGCAGGGCTCTATGGCCCACGTGACATAACATGTACTTTCGTGTCTTTATAATCCAAAAACTTCTTATACAGCGAAGACATCATAGAAGAACATTTTTTCAAATCAATATACTTACAAGCACGCCAAGAGTCAGGGTGTTTGAAAGGAAAAGCCAGTCCATTGTCAATAGCAGCCACATATATTTTGGGAGGATCCACATAATCCCAGTCACCCTGTTAACAAAAGAGTTCATTCATAAAGTATTTAATTTATTTATTGAAATAATATATTTCACTGTTTCCGATTGACTCAAATCCTAATCCTAATTCTTCATAACCAGCCGGCTCTGACCAAATTTGGTCTTAGTGAATATCAATTAAAACATGTCAATAATATACAACTATTGCCTGAAGGGGAGGTGAATAGTGGTGAAAATATACCGAGAGGTGAAACGTCGAGGTATACACAGACCCTGAGGGGGATAGTTGTTTTAGTATTTACAAAACTCAGTTGGATAAAAATGAAAAAAGTAACTTTTTGTAAATAAAAAACGTCACTTAGTAGGAACTTTGTTTACAATTTACACACATTTCGGGGATTTTGTCAAGTGCATTTTATGATTTTGTTGCAAATTCAGCATGAAAATAATTTTCTAACTGCCAGTAAAGACTGACAGGCCAAAGCTTGTCGCTTCCTCCGTATTTGTATGTATGGCTGCTTCATTCATTGTTCAAATTTCGTCTTTCCGAACAGTCATGTCTAGAAACAAGATGCCATTTTGGCTCCAGTCACAAAACAGTGAATAGCCTAGGATATTCCGAGTTACGGGAGCCAATCAAAACGCACAAAAATTGCTATTCACTGATTTGGTAAATAAATAATAACAGGATATTGCCAGAGATGAGATAGGAAGCGAAAAGCGCTGCCTCCCCTTAACACCCCCCCCAACAAACACAGATACAGACAGACTTGCATGTTGCAACAGAGCACCTACATGTACATGTAATGGCTCACACAGGTCTACTCACCCCTTGTTCACCTTCCACTTGTCTATCTACTTCTGGTGTTCTTTCATACTTTATGAGCCAATTATCATTTCCACGATCTGGAGTGGAAAAGAAGTTTTTTCATTCTACTCTATGCAATAACAGGAGGGATTACAGTCACAAGTATAGACCTGGAATTCTTTCCCAAGAGCATGTTAAGTGTTCTCACTGGCTACTTTGGGGTCACATGACATTTTAAAGGGAACCTGTTCTCAGCAAAAGACCCTGAGTGGGAAACATTGACAAAAATAACATTAAAATCAACTGCCTTACAAACGACTAGATGTTTATTAATTTTGATAAACGTTGAAAGTTTAGTAGGGGAATGTAAAAGAAGGGGCCGGGATAATGACTTCCTCGACATAACTGATGTATCTAATGATACTTATGCTTTTTACAGCACCTTGAATTTTGTAAAATAGTTTTACATTGCAGAGCAAATTATTGTATTTACCTGTATTTCTAATAATATAATCTAGACAGACAAGTTTTTGAAATTGAAGAATAAATTCTTTCTGTGTAACAGCTGGAAGTGCTTCCACCTCAAACTTTCTCAGATGAAACTCGGCATCTTTATAACCCTCTACAAACAGTTGAAAAGAGCCAAGCTGGAAAACAAAAAGTTTCCAAAGACATTAGTATCCTGTCCTGTATTTATATTGCTCCTTACAAGCTACATGTGTAACAATAATTGAAAGTACATGTACACTGTATTCTTGATTTCTGATTTTCAGTTATTAGAAGCAAACTTGAGTTTTCTTTTGGTAGATATATGTTGCTGACCAGTAGAAAACTTGGCTTTCTCTACTCACTATGTATGAGGTCACAGATATGGAAAGGAAAGTGCATCAGCCAATGAGAATGCTGGATTTGCAGCACACATGTACATGTTCCAGTGAAGGTTCTTAAATAATTCCTAGTTCTTAGACTCAGGTATTTATACAACTCAAAATGGTAGGACCTTGCATAGATTCATTTGCTATAAAACAGAAAGTGTAGATTTTCTTATTCAGAATGACTCTACAGTTCTTCCAGAGAGGTTTTTATGAGAGGTCTTAGGAGTGGGTATGTTGTCAGGGTTCTATCTAAGATGGCTATGAGTTTCTTGGAGGGTCTGCGGGCATGGCCCTCCAGAAATTTTCTGAAATGAATATGTGCTGAGATGGAATCTGGTTCATTCTCAGACACAATTGTGAGAAAAGTTACAGTATGTGCACTGACCTTGTCACATCTGGATGATTTTTCTGATATAGTTACTTATATACTGTGATGATAACAATATTTATTGCCAAAAACAAAAGGAAATAAAATTTAAACCGTTGATAAAATTGAACCACAACATAATACAATGTCAACTAGACTGTACTCGGAAACAAGAGTAATGATCAGTGTAAAGGTCTTATGGTTATTTTACTAGGGATTTGTATCAATGCAATACAGTTATTGATAACAGACATGTTATACTTTTTAGCAACATCATGAATAAAAGAGGTCCTTTGATTGTTTGCTGTGACCAGGATACCCAAGAGTATGTAATGAGAACGTTGTATGCTGAAACTTTGTAACCTTACTAAAATCCTCACCTTAGCAGGTAGTCCGGCTTTAACATGCTTTCCTAAAGTATCTGGAAATCTTTCCGTTGCAAACTTTTTTGACCTTGCCTTTGCACGATCAAATGCAGTGTAGTTAAATGTTGGACTAGCAAGTCTTACAACCTGAAAGAAAAAAGAAAGTACAGTGTTTTTAAATCTAACAATCTGTATACTTTATGCTTTTTAACCTAAATGCAGGTTCAAGCCTTGCCACCATATTTTTTCCTAGACAACACAAATGGACACAATATATAAATATATTTTTTTGTAAACGTTATGTACTATTGCTCCATGTTTCCTCTCTTAATCCAGGTGTATAAATGGGCACCACTAGCATACGGCAAGGGGAAAACCCTACAATGGACTGATATCCCATTTAGGGTTGGAGGGGGGAGGAAAAAAGCACTGGCTTATGTGTACATTTCTAGTCAAAAGTCTAAGGTGGGACCATTGACATTAAACAGGTCATTAAACTCCTGAGGCTAAGGGTTTCAAAGGCAGTGTCCAGTTTGGCTCTCACTGCTGGTGTTGAATTATCACTGAATCTCATATCAAATTCATATTATTCTGCTACCATTAAAAGCAACATTACAAAGTACATTGTGCCCTTGACTGTCATATTTCAACTCAATCTTATGCGCAGAATGCCGAAAATGGCATTTCCAAGCCTCCAGATTCAAAAATGTTCTGAAGAGCAAGGGGTTGGGGGGGAAGGTATATGTTGTAGTTTTTTTCATCTTAGATAATTTCTATTTTTCTTGGTTTCAACTTCATAAGCATACATTACAATAACCAAAAACAAAAGAAAAACAAAAATTACCTGAGATAAAAAATTAACTGTGACATATACACTTTCAGGTCCCCCTAAGAGGAATGGTTAAGGTCATAATATCAGAAGCCATGCACAATAATAATATTACTATGTAAATAGCAATTAAACATGAATGAACATCATTCTTTATGACAAAATGTGTTCCTCACCAAGAGGTATTAAACAGTCGGCAGTAGTTATTGGCTCTCACCTTTGTTTTAGGGACCACATGAAGACCAAGTTTACCATCAACCAGTCTTGCTCCTTTCTCAGATAAATACCCCTGATTTGGAATTAAACAATTTCTATCAAAACTGAAGGACAACAAATTTTGTGACACCATTTTTGGCTCTCACCTTTGTTTTAGGGACCACATGAAGACCAAGTTTACCATCAACCAGGCTTGCTCCTGCCTCAGATAAATATCCCTGATTTGGAATTAAACAATTTCTACCAAAACAGCAAGGACAACAAATTTTGTGACACCATTTTGTCCATTTAGGATTCAAGTGTCCATAAGGTTCCTCATCCTTGGGTTTGAATACACCAATCTTTTTCTGCATATAATATAGTGTAAAACATATTTAGGTACATGTACATTGTACAAAACAACAGTTGTTTTCACTGCTGGAAGTGGAATTTGGGCAAGAAATCAAGCAAAAAGGTCAGGCCCCACTTTTTCAAATTGAGAAAAGGAAGATGTATCTTCTGTATCAATCTTACTCCAGTGGATAATGCAATAAAATATTCCCTAAACCTTATTCACTGGAAAGTGATTTATCTGGTGGATATTGCTGTCCAAATCTCGAAAACAACTGGGCCAGCACTTTAAACACTTACCTGTATTTTGTAAAGTAATGTATGGAGACCAGTCTGGAGAATTTGTAGGTGGATATCGGGGCTTGGTAGGTTAGAGAGGTCAAGAGGAAGGGGAAATAAATAAAAAAGGCGTGCAAGAATGTGATAGGAACATAAGAGGGAACAGAAGAAGGTAAGAGCTGTAAGGACGCTACTTAATGACCTGGGCCCAGTAGTTCAAAAGGTGGATAATGCTATCCAGTGGATAAATCTCTATCAGGTGGATAGTGCAATTGGTTTTGCTGATGCTTATCCAATGAATAGTGATTTATCCAGAGGATGCTACCCAATGTTTGAATGACCAGTGCCTGTTTGTTACTCTTGCTGGAATTTTGAATTTTGATGTTCATTAGTAATGATACAGTGTACCTGTGTCATTATTAAGTTATTGATCAATGTTCCACACTGACAATATTTTACTCAGGGCAACAAACTCCTAATAATTACAACCTCCAAGATCCACATATGAGAAACAATTAAGTCTTAAATTTAATATAAACAAACAAATTCATATAATAAGTACATGTATCAGCTATGCGTTTTACATACAATGGTAAATATTATTTATCAATAATATATGAGTTAACTATTAATTCCACAGTTTTAACAACGACAAACGTGATAATGTTTGCAAGAAATTGCATGGCACCCAGCAACAATTCTTTCAAGCAAAATGTCAAAAGCATAAAACCTGTTTCAATGCCCACGTGAAACCATGACCTTGCATAAAAACGAAACCGGAACTGAAAGTTGTGTTAATTTAGAAAATTAAGTGAGAGAACACACCACAAATTTAACCATATTTGTCTGTTATGGATCTTAATACTGTCTGCCACGGTGTGTAGAGATAGGAGTTAAATAAGCCTGCAAAAACTAAAAATCACTGAGAACTTACCCCTTCCCTGTCCTTCACAAAGTAACTTCCACTCGACCCCTGGTAAATTCGTTCGGGCAAAATGCCCACATCAATCGCTTGCTCGGCCGCATGTATGATGCCTGTAAATTCAGGATCATCGAAATGGTTTCCTTGGTATTCAGAATCACTGTGACTGTCCATTCGTGATCTAGATCTGCCAAGTAAAGGTCTCTGTTCAGAAGTTCTGTTATCGTAATAATGCGAGCCGCCGACAATAGCTGTACTGTAACTTGCCGGGTCGGCGTGATAAGGAACTACATCGGGCCCATTAGGGCGGCCGTCGGAGACGAAATCGATCAGTGGACGCCCTCCTTCGTCTACTGACATCTAAATCTTTAATTCAGGAGCCTTGTTTAGAAATTTTCCAATCGTTTTGTGGGCATTTCATTCGTAGAAATTGCCACTAAAATGGCTCTATTTTGGTTTCTTACAAAATGTCATGATTTCATCTCGTGATACGCATGCTTTAGTTTGCGTGTGATCTACCGCTGACCGGTAGCCGGAAGTGAATCGCCTGATTGAAAACTTGCCTTCGGAAATTTTTTCCGTTGAATATCGTCCCCTAAGAAACAATAACAAAAATCCCTATTCTTTTAACACGGCTTCGCAGTGTTGTTTTGTAAATTTCGAACCTTTGATGAGCCAACTCTTTTCCTAGGGCATTTCAGGTGACAACGTAGCTCAGAAAACTAGATTCGTCGGTTGATTCGCCCGATACATGTATACTAGTAATGTTATACATGAAATGCTCAGTTCAAATTACCTTTGCAAGGTTTTGACTATGTTTTGAAGGGATGCAGCAACAGGGCTAGAAAACTCGAACACGTTTCCTTGACGTTGTTATCTTAAATGATCTCAGTGTTTCAAAGGACCGCCGGAAACTAGGGCCTTAGTTACAGTCCAACTTAATTAATATAGGCACTGAGTAAAACTTACCTGTCTTGAAATAATTTCAGATTAATTTTAATCCCTGTTTCAGAAGCATTGAACAAGTAATCCCGTTGTACAGCCTTGGAGGCGAAGCTTGCATAATCAGCCGTATGCAAATAATTTTTCAGCGTGCAATCATTTTGATGCAAAGCACGACATGGACTTTGCCGTAACACGAACTTGATGAATAGAAAAATGCATAATTGAATGGAAAGACGAATAAGGTGTAAAGCAGATTTGAAACGCAAATAACGTCTACAGCTATCAAAAAAGGCGCCTTTTTAAATATTTTTTTGGTGTCGACCAGTTTTCCATAACAAACTTACGTGTTTTGATCCATTACCCTCAGCGCTTACTTTCGGTGAAAAATTTCCGACAAATGGTACTGGTATTTATTTGGGCACCAAAAACAGGATCGAGATTGAGTTGTACCACTTACAAATACCGGTAAATTTTTGCTTTCTCTCGACTTGGAGCGTGGCGCTGATTCAAACAAATGGCACAGAAAATTTCGGTCGTTTCGGTGAAAACGGGGAAAAGGTAATATCTCGAAAGGTACTACTTTTTTTCCGGACAATTTCCACCGGTATGAACCGTTCCAATTGAGTTCTCCTTGGAATTTCCGGGTTTTCCATACAAAAGGTAAGCGTTCCCTATGTCAGTATGAAGATTTACAGGTATTCATAGTGGCAAAGGATCAGAGTATTGTACATAAAGTAAAAACATAATAACAAGATAACCTCCGAAGAGAAAATGGTGAGGGAAAAAACTTAGTTGTGAACGAACCGCGAATCCTTAAAGGAATTAGCTAAGAAAAAGCGGTGTGTATTAGGGGAGCACATGTGAACAATAAACATGTGATAACGTGAAAGAGGCCTTTGGAGAATTCAGTGTTTTGCCGATAACTGTGTTATTTGTCTGGAGGGAAGTAAAACTTGAAGTAACACAGGTAAGGTTTGTTCTTTATTGCTCCTGTACTGTAGACTGAATTTCTGGATTTCCTCACCGTTACTGAATAACACACGAGAGCGCTGTATGTAGACTCTAAGTTGCCTAGTTCCTAGGCCTAATATAAGTATAAAGGCCAAAGCGTTTCTAGTCACGTGGTCCAAGCGAAAATGTGAGGGTGTTTCCTTCTCGTTGCTGGCCTTCGATTAAAATCCTTTAATAAGAACGACCGAGACCCGGTTTTATGAGACAGCTGGACTGAGCACCCCACCCAAACCCTTGTTTACACTAAAACCGCTGGACGCCACAACCTGGTTGAGGTCGTTGTTATCTAAGGTCTTTCGCCTCGGATACGTCACCGAAGTGAATTGACAGAGAGGGAGTGGGAAAACGCCGTACTGGGACTAGGCAAGACTCTCAAGTATGTAATCCGGAACTTTCCCCTCCCCCCAGGTCTCACCAGCTCTTATAGTAAAAGAGTACTGCACGGTCCAGTCTCGTGGACTAATTTCTACAGCCTGAATAATATATTATGATAAAACATTATTTTTGAATACTATAAAACTGAAATCAACGGCTGCATTTTTATATCTAGTACAGTTCTAAACATTTCGTGAACTGATTTTTTTTTTAGCTTGTAGACTGTCATCGAACTAGTTCTATATGGCAGACGCTGTCAGTAAGTGTATTGGTTATTTATTAGCTACTCAGTTGAAATTGACGTTAGGGCTCGTATACGGATCTGAAACTGAGACCACGCAAGGTTAGTTGTCAAAGCTTAATTACTCAACACACTGTCTCAACCAGGCTGACCACCCGACAGTTATTGGCCAATCACGAGAAAGTATATCTGGCGTTATTATTAAACAAAAACGAAGAATATTTCTCTCATTTCCCTTAATTAAGTGTTTACTGAAGTTCGCTTTAATGTTTTGGATCACAAATAGCCGGGCTGACCCGGATGATCCAACGTATAGTACCACTGCATGAGCAGGATTTTAATTTCCGCTTGCTTGCTGGAACAGGCTTTGTTTAGTAAAGACAAGTAAAACTCCACACTGATGACTGAGTTCTTTGAATGTTTCATGGCGATCATTTCTTCTATTCACGTGATATGTCCCTTCGTGTGATGGTTCTTAGGGTTTGGTTTGTTTTGTATGAAGTGAGCCAGCCCGTTTAGCCGGGCTAGCTCGCTCATCTCTTGTTTCCTCATCATAATATTGTCGTATGTTTATATGAGAAGGCGTGCTGGCCCACTTGCCGAGATCTCGGTTTCTCGAGCCTTCTCACATAAACACAACGACAATTTTAAGACGAAACTAGGTGGGGCGAGCGACCTCTGTAAAGCGGGCCAGCCCGGCTAAACGGGCTGCCTTACTTCATATTAACAGGCCCTTAGGCAGGCTGTTTTAGATTTAAAAAAATTGTAAGTCATTACGAAAATGAACTAAACAAAGACAACATCTGTCAAACATCTTTGCTCATATATGAATCATCATCGTCGTCATCATCTGTCTCGAATTCTTCTTCATCACCTGCTTCGGAGTCCTCCTCATCAGATTGAGAGTCAGAGTCGATTCGGTTATAAACCCTAGGATACATCTCACATTCACAACAAGACCTTAGTTCCTGAGCGTATGAGTCCCACACTTCTTTGTAAACAGTTTTTCCCGCAACGATGCTTAACAGCTTGTCTTCCACAAACTCGCCTTCAAATCTCAAAAACGATAAATGCAATGTCCGCTGGAAACATAAGCCCATGTTTGCGGCGCATTGATGGTCTGCGTCGTCACAAATTACTTCATTTATGTATCTGGGGAATTTGTCTTTGCCGAGATTCGTGGTTGCCGAGCATTCGGTGCATAATCGATGAAGATTAGTATCATATACTTTTGAGCCTCGATCTTCGCACTGACGAATTTTAGTGCCTGTAGGCGAGCTGGTGGGGCCATCCCTTAGATGAAGCAAATCTGATTTAAATTTTGTTGCTTGAGATTTTCTTGAAAAACGTAGCTTTTTCGTTTTCTTTGGAGTATTTGTTTCTTCGTTTTGAAAAGTTGTCAAATCTTCAAACTTGGCTGCATCTGATTTGTTCACTGCCACATATCTTTTTAAAAACCCTCCAGCAGATTCTAGTTGTTTCAGTAGCTCTTCGGATGTTCTTCGCAAGCATACGACTGATCCAGGCTCGTCTTGAATTCGAGAAACCCTTGTGTGGTTCCGACAGATTTTCTTTCCTAACGATGGTGCATTAGTGATCTTTGTAGGGGGATTTGTTATTGGATTCCTACTTCGATGTCTGTATTTTCTCCTAGTCCGCGTGCGTCGCAAGTAATAGCCTTTTGATACTCCACGAACCGTACTTCGTGGCTCGTTTTTGACTTTATTTTTCATCGTTTTTTCTCCATCTTTAATTCCACCTGGATGAAAACTAGCACTGTATACCACGATGAAGCTCGCAATTAGAAGAAAGATTGTTACAGGACTGAATACTTTACGCTGAAAGAATAAGTAAGGAGGATGCTTTAAAAAAGACACGAGACAACTTTAAACTTACTTAACCGGCGACACGAAAGTCTACACGAATGCCATTAAATTCAAGTACTGTATTTACGCTTGATAGCAAACGACTGACACAGAGGGGCAAGAAAACCAAAGAGATTACACCATTCAAAAAGCTAATATCCTTTTTTTTCAAGGTTCCACACTGGGTCGGTTTTCATCCAGTTAGGTGTATTTTGTACCATGTGACCGTTTCATTCTGCAAAGGGCCCATTATACAACGCCTCATTCAAATCATATTCCTGGATCTTCTTTAGGACTAGCACGATTGAAATAAGTTCAACCGCTGATCGGTGCGTCACCCCCAAAGTGGAGCTTTTGTGTTGGTCATGACGATAACATAACATTCGTTCCTGGCCACGTTTTCACTTTCTTCACGTCAGATATGGCATGCATTACATAAAGGCTCTTATTTTCGTGAGTTCAAATGATATTGCGAGAGAAAGTCTAACATCGCTGATTTATTTGCCACCCCACGTAATGATCAACTCGTCATAAACACACCCTCGCGTGTTTCTTGACTCTTAACTGTATTAGTCAGGGGTTGTTAGTGGTGTAAATCAGCTGCAGATTAAATGACCTAATATATATTGAGACAGTTTAAATAAGATAAACTCAACATACCTTCATGATTTCTTGCGGTTAGGCCAAAGGGATAGGGAGGAATCCTATTTGTTTGTAATAGAGTCACAGCTATTAAGAGGTAAATAAGTAAATCATTATATTCCACAATAATAACATTGACTTTTTCTTAAATTTTGAGAATCATAAGTCAACGTGTAGTAATTTGTCTCAAAAACAGAAGATGAAGTAAAATTGCGGAGTGAAAATGAAGTTGCATACTGGCAGGAACTGATCATCTTGATAAGAAAACAAATTAAATTGGCACTTGATTGTTCACAGTACGTTGAGAGTTTGTTCATTGTTCCAGACCAGAATAATTTATTTCCTCAACACTTTCGCGTTGATGCCATTCCAGGTCTTGGCAAACAAAGATCTATAAAGTAGCCATACATCTTTTTTTCCGGTAACAATCTGAGAGAAAGTTTGAACGAACAAAAATATATTTTAAAACGCACCTTTTGACCAAGATGTTTTTAGTGATCCTCGTTCTTGCAGGTAAGTTTTGAAATATTAGACATTCAAAGGCAGCCAAGACTTTACACTTATAAGCATCGGGCCAACCGGCGAGTGACTCTCCATGTGGCTAATTTGAATCATCTTGGGATGACTTTAACTTAAATTCAAAAAATGGTTTTTTTTTCAATGTATTTTATGTAAAAAAGAAAGCGATGTTTACTTCGGACACCTCAGCTGTTGAACTGAAATCAGCACTCTCACATTCTATTAAATTAAAGATATTGGTATGAGAGAATTCCAATCACTACTGCTGCTTATTGTTCTAATACTGTTTTCATGGTTGTTCGATATGATATTATGGATATAATTATCGACTGAGGTCTTCGCCAAGTATAAATTCAATATTCTAATCAATTAAGTTTAAAAGAAGTGGAATAGCAAAAGCACAGGTATTTCCTTTTTCTAAGCTTCGGATCTAAGTCAACTGTCCTGTGGCAGAACTAACAGAAGATTCACTTTCCCTGATAATGCGGAAGCTTTATAAAATAATTAAGAATCAATTATACATTTAAATGGATACCATAGCTAATTACAAGCTAACCCAACAACCCCCAAGCTAGAAAGATTCTAAAGACCAAGACTTGCATTTACGTAACTGACTAATTAGAACTGTGAAGAATTAATTCTCACCAGTCAGTTTCTTGTCCAAATTGATACAAACAAAGGGAAGACGGTCGAGTCCGGTGGAGTAAATTAACTCTCTAAACAACAGGAATTCAAGTCCACAAGTTTGTACAGGAATAGAAACACCTAATATATATCAAGTGATGTAAATGGCCACTGAAAAGGAAAATCTATTTTGGACTATAGTTTCACATTCTATTTTCAACAGAATGCCATACAAAAGTTCTAATATAGCTAACCTCTCTTGTTCCGTTCTTGAGTTTTTCACTTTTTCAACTCAAGACTTTTTTTACTTAGGAAAGAGAAAATGTGCAAAGAAACAAAAAGAAAAAGAACATAGTTAAGTTTAAGTTCTTAGGAAAAATGGAAAGGTACTCATGACTTATGGTCATAGTCTATTACTTCATAACGCATTCAATTAGCCTCTTTTTCCACGTACAATATCAAATGACCAAGGTTCACATACAAGAGCTGAAATTCACAACAGATCTTCGAAACAATAGTATGTCACAAAGACTAAGTTGTGGACTGGGGGATGTAGCCTCTGTTTTTAATTGCGCGGGTGGTTTGTATGTTAACGGTTATTCGACTTTTCATGACACATCTCTCCATGCATGTATACAGCTGTGTATACATCTATAGTACATACACAAAGTTACACAACGTGATACACATACGCGACAACTGAGTTAAACTGCGTTATCTTAAAACAAAAGGGGACATTCATGTGCAGCTAAAGGGGAGGCAGCATCGTATAGAACCGCGGAAGACATTCAAAAGCAGAAATGTGTCACTTAATCAGCATTGAGAAAAATCCAGAAAAAGGAACGTTTTTCTCCCAAAAAGGAAATTTTCTTCGAGATATACATAAGATAAAGCCACATTTCTGAACTATATTTTTTAAAAAGATTCTGATTGTAAATGACTTATGATAAATCAAAATATTAATTTTAGTTAATCAAAAGAGATTTGTGCGGATGAGCGCCATGGAACATCCGATTTCCAAAAACCCTCAATTTCAAAATGAGTCTACTGCCCAGTTCAGACGTCGTACTTCTGCCGTGCCGAACTTAATTTTAGCTCGGTTTGACTGTAGCACGGCAGGAAAACAACTTTGATTAGACGTCGTGCGAGAGTCGAACCAAATTCAGGATTTACTGATGCCTCTTAACAATTCCCCTCCTAACTCCCCGTGGGAACGCAATCTCGCCAGAATACATTAATATAATGTATGAATTTTGCTTAGCGCGGCAGAAGCACGACGTTTGAATCGCTGCCGTGCTAGAGCCGTGTAGTACGGCAGCGCTTGTCGAACTTATTTGCTTGCCGAACTTAATTCAAAAGTTTGATTCAGACGCCGTGCTTCTGCCGTGCTTTTGTCGAACTTAATTCCTGAATTTAGTTCGGCACGGCAGAAGCACGACGTCTGAACTGACCCTAAGTGCACAACCTTTCTTGTAAAAATGAGTTTTATTTGCATGAGAATGAAAAATGATTTCCATATCAAAGGGTGAGCACCTACCCTCGTTTTGAAAAAGAGGCCCAGGGGGAATTCGGAATGGCCTATTGGCTCGCTAGAAAAAGAGCAAATCAAATCCAACTTTTATAATTATATTTCCTTTCTCGATGAAAAATAAATGAGTGGTTTTTCCTTTATCATTAAAGGAAATCGTTTTCTCACTCGCATGCGTGGCCTGAAGAGGAGAACAAGAAGCGGGGTTTTACATATCAAGATAAATGTTGCATCAGAGTTGCGCGGTGATATTTTTTCAAAGTTAAGTTATACTTTTAACAACCATTGAGTGTACTGGCTCATCTGGATCTGACGTCAGCTAGTCCTAGCCTTTAATGGACACGGTTTTTGTTTATATATACGTTAGCTGAATTTCCGTGATTTCGGCTCAGAACGTGAAGCAATGAACATTGCGTGGTCCCTCGATAATACTGAAGCAATAACAGAGACATTGAGTTACTTATAAATCAAAGTTGATCCAATATTATGGAAATATTATGGCACTATGAAGATGGTAAATATGCCATTTTTGGGGTAAAGTAGATGCATACTAAAAAAATCACTGAAGTGGCGGTAACTAAACACAGAATCAAACAATTTAACTCAATTGAAGACTTGGCCAATTAGGTCAATAACAAATAAACGTAGCTAAGATACAACTAAGTTTGACTCTGGAGATTTCTACCGCACAGGTTGTCTAAACCTTGGTGGCCCTGTGATTGTCCACAACATTCCTGTTGGGGATTACACCCTCTTAGATGACCTTGATCGTTACAATTTAGTTAAAGCATTACTCCTGGGTTCAAAACATTTACTGAATATAAAAACTATACAAGACAGGTTTAGTCGTTGTCATCATTTTAATTCTACCAGCAAGTTGAAATAGTTGAAATCGCCGCTTTGCAGTTCAGTTGTGTTGCAGTTTATTATGTCTTATTAATTACTTGAATTTCCTACTGGTACAGCAGAAATATTCTTTAAGAAAAATAGACAAAAGGCTAGTCATCAGGTTTTAAAAGAAGGTACATTTACAAATATTAGCATTTTAAGGTAAATTAATTACTTGTTCATAGCAGTAATAGGCCACTGAACTGAATAAGAATACCGATACAAAACTATTGACTTTCATAATTAGCCACTGTGCATGTGTGCTGCGTAAAATGCTTGTAAAGGGACTGTCAGCATCTACTTTCTGTATACAAAGAAGTATCAAAGGTCAAAATACTTATTGAAACTTCTTAAATTTTGTCGATTCACACAAATGCACGCAGCATAATCAAGTTTTCATTTTCATCTTTGTTAGAAATCTCAGCAGGACGTATCCTATTTAGATTCCGGGTTATGCCGATTTTACAAACATTTTTCGTGAAAATATGCATCGGTAGGATGAACTCGATCCGCATAATTCTTCTGACCATACGACAAACGAATCCAATCAATGTTTTATTATCCATTCAAGACAATTTCTCGATCGATGCTTATTCACCGTCTTCATATAATTTACCTCTTTCTCGACAAATTTAGTATACAAATTTAAAAGATGTTTAGTCTTGAAGATATTCTTCAAACAGCGCACTTCGAGTTGTATTTGATGTTTTCTTGCCTACATTTTCCTTGCGAAACGTGTAAACTTTTCAGCCATTTTCTACAGCTGTACAAATCAAACTAGTCCCCAGCGCTTGTTAGTTGCGGTCCCTCAGTTTCAGGCGTTTAACTTGTAGACTGTATTGACGTCATTTTATCCGATCTCGCCAGTCTTCCAAATTTAATTTTTTTCAACGTTTGCTGGTTATGATGACTTGAGCCAAGTAGAAAGGTCGAGATCTCCATAATTCTTCAGATGATACGAAAGCCAAAATGAAATTCCGTAATTGTTTTAATTCATTCAAATTAATTCCTAGTTTAAAAATAAGCTAAAACATGCTTACCTCCATCGATGTTATTAAAGTTAGTCTTCGATAGTGTGTGTTTATCGGCACTTTTAGGAGATAAAGGGATATCATTTCCGCAAATATTCTCCAAATAGCAGATGTCGTCCGTCGATTGTCTTCTGCTGCTCTTGCTATATTTTTAGCCAATAGTTCGCCTATTTCCTTTTCGTGAAACAACTGAAATGCTCTGCCATTTTGTGCTCACCACCAACTCAACTTAGTCTGCAGGTATCCTCGAGTAACTGTTCATTAATCTGGTAATTTTGCTGCACACTTCACGTCATTTTTCACATATATATTAAATGAATAATAGTAATGATTATTGCCTTATAACAAAAGAGCAGTTTCTTATTTTGGTCGTTCAAGGAAGTCGTCTATAGAGAGGTTACGCTTCACGTTGACGTCCATTGCACCACGTGACCAAGTTTCCCCTTTACTTGTCGTTTCCTGTTCATTATTTCCTATTCACGCAATTTTCATCCATAAGAATGGTTTAGAACCGTTTTTATCTAAAAAATTTCCTATTTTGGGAAATTCTCAACTTGAATCTGACGTTTGCTGTTTGCCGTTTATGTGAAGCTTAAACTCTCTGATAAAACCAGGATACCAGAATTAACAATTCTACATCATTTTTTTTCATTGTGTAAGTTTGCGCCAGACAACAACAACAACAACATCTTTTATTTAATCACGGTGGGATTTTAAGCTAAATAGCTTATGGGGCCTTGTAAAAAATGGTAATAGGATAAAAAAAAATTTAAAAAATACACTAAAAACGATGAAAAATACGTACAGTAGTGTCGATATATAAATTAAAAATATGAATGTTGTTTATATATATATATATATATATATATAGAAAAAACATTCTATTTAAGTTGACCTGCCAACGAAAAACGAGGGGGAAGGTTGGGTAAAACCCCTTTTAATCTGTTTCAGATAATTTTCGGGACACAATTCAGTATCTGAGAATTAATACCCAAAGGGGAAAACGTCAAGGAATAAGCCCTTTCTTGAGATGAACACGATCATAATTAACGGAAGAGTAACAAATTTGTTGCATGTTGTGTCCTGGTTCTACAATAACTGATTTATTTTGGTTTTGATTTTGCTTCTTTGATTTCAGTTTAGAAAAAGTCAAGCTTTATAAATCCCCCTAGCATCCATCTCTCTCTCATGCGATGACCAGTTCCATCAACTTCACAAATGACATGAAAAGAATCAGAATAGGAGTGAATCTTTGAATGCAGGCACAAAACAATGGCCAGATTTTAATTTCAATTGTGTGAATAATGATAAGCAGTATTATTAGGACAGTTTAATTTTGAAGTAAACACCACACCTTGACGACTCTCTATTTGCCGATACACTGGTAACTAACAGGAGGGTGGTAAATTTTTATTTGTTTGTAAGTAGGGAACAAATAAACAATTTGTTATATCTTAAAATAGCAATTGACCGTTTTTTAAATTTCAAGGATAAAATTCAATTCAATTCAATTCTTTATTTCACACTATATAAGATATTTACACAAGTGTAGGTAGGTATAATTATTATTGAGTGAATAGCTGCCTTGGGATCGTAATATAAAAGGGTTATTGGTCAACTGGTAACACTTAATATATGTTGATGGCATTCAAAATCTCATTCTTTTCTAGTATAAAAGGAACAAATCTATATTTATTTAATAGTAACTGTTTTTTTCTTTTTTTTTTTCTTAGACGCAGTTATTTTTAATAGTTGTGTAAATCAGCGTTACTTATCAACTTCGCCCAGTTTTTACCCAAATTGTCCAGCAAAGTGTAAAAAAACCCGAGTCCTCGAATTAAGGAAGCTGGAACCTACAGTAGGCTTCATGTGACTTCAGGAAGTACTCTGTATTGATCCGATGACGACACAAGATTAAATAATGGGTACGAAACCAATACGTCGAGTAACTTTTAAAAAGGCGGGGTTAATTTTGAGTTTACGTACTTGTCTTGCAGACAACGAATATAATAACAGAATATAGTTCTCCGACAATATATTATTCATGAATTCCTACAGTCTATTCACGTTGATCTCCCGACCGTAAATTCCGTGAAAACCGACAGAAGGCACGGGAAACCACTTTCCCGACGATCAATCAACCGGCATAACAAATTTTAAACTCGCTAGTCCAAAAACATTTTGTCGACAAATGTATTTAGAAGTTTGGCATCTCACTAGAAAATAACGTTCTGCAGTTGCTTTCATGTGTAGATTTGAAAAACACACATGTAATTAATAAGTGGAACTTTTAGAATATTTCAGAGAGACGTTTAGACTCCGTTTTCTACGAGAGTGTTTTAACTTGAAGTTTGTAAAACCACTTCTTTAATGTATAGCGTTCATTCTTATGTCTTGAGGTTTCCTTGCAGAAAATTAACAGAACATTCCCAGGCTGGTTAACCAATAACCAAAAAGATAGAAGTTCCAGTCCCTGAAGTGCTTGATTACTACATTTACATCCATTACAGTTTCACGACGAATATACATTAAGGGCAAATATAAACAAATATCAGCATTGGCGCTACCTGAAAAGTTTGCTTGCGTAATAAGATTAAAACCCTCATCCTAAGCTTACACCAGTGACGTCATTAAAAATGCGTAGGTTTGACGAAACCTCCATGTCACAAGCAGTCATCGGCCCAGAGAGGCTCAATAAAAATAAAAACTGTTAGGTAACAAACATGAAATAGAACTGACTTTTTTAAACAAACAAAAACGTTCAGTAATCATTGATGTTGATTAAAGTTGAATTACTAGTCGGTTGACTTTTTATTGAACGACCCAGTCGGTTGTCAACCTTATAGTAAAGATTCAATGTCATCAAACGATTATTGTAAATTACACTTTTGAACTCCGGCTAGAGTTTTTCAGAAAAAGAAACTTTTTTACACTATGGACGGCTATCGAGCAGATTTTCTCTAGAATCCAGTGCTCAAAGCAAGTTTAGACAGCGGTTTAAGCTAACCCATTTTTCCAACATTGCAAGCCAGATGTAACCTCAGCCCACCTTGACTAACTTTTGCTTAACAATTGGGTAGTGATGAAGTGTATTAAAATATTTCGTAATGGCAATAAAGTTAAGTGAATTAAGCCCATTTTCGTGGGTTGAGTTGTTGAACGTCCGAAATTTTCAATCAGGTGATTAAAGGGAATACTCCGTACAATTCCGAAAATAAGCCCCTCCATGTATAAGCCCCTCCAAATATAAGCTCCCCAAACCGGTAACGCAAAAACCCCTCCGTTGAATCGCTCCTCCAAATATAAGCCCCCCGGGGGCTTGTACTTGGAAAATTGCCCTCGAATACAAAGTAAAACAAAGCAAAAACGGTAAATTTACCTCCAAGTATGAGGCTAGCCCAATCGATTTTGAAACGAAAATTTCCTTCCATAGATAAGCCCCTCCAAAAATATGCTCAAGAAGGGCCTTTGAAAAATATAAGCCCCGGGGCTTATTTTCGGAATTTTACGGTATTATTTAAGAACTGGGCAGCCGTAAGCTGCGGTTATAAACGTTAATTAACGTTGTAAAAATCTCCCACAAAAGTTTTCTTGATAATATGAATTGAACACACAAAATGTACCCACAGTTTTCTATCCAATAAAATGTTTTTCACTTGACACATAGTTGATGAGTAATTTCTTATGGTTTGACAAATCTCCCTGGCTAATAATATCTTCTCGCATGACGTAGAGGTCCTTTTTCATCATTGGAATTAATATACATTGTTACTCTTGTTTATAAATGGCTAATGCATCAACTTCAAGTTATAACTACCAATAATCTTCCAAACACATATCTGGATATTAAGCTTTTATAATTGTCATAAATAACAGTCATTCATAAACTTTCACATTAGTTGCCGAATAGGCGCCGATGACTTTCGAAACTTAAAAACTACTCTGAATTTGAACGGTTACACCCGGTTTGATTTTTCGAAAAAAAGAGAAGACTTGCAAAATTACAGCAAAATTTGGAAAGCCGGGTAAGAGATTTTGTTACTTATTGTAAGTTTACAATATTTGAAATGGGTTCCTTAAGATAATCCCGATTTACAATATCATTACCGAGAAAAAATAGATAAGTAAACCTGTTAACCTAGGTCATTGTTACATTAACTTGCTTATTGAATATAAGTTGTTGCTCTCAAGCACATTTGTGTCCTTATTCTAATAACCGCTCAGTGCCATTTTTCTAAAACAGTGTACATCGTGTGTTTCTTGCTGACTTTAGTTTAGAGGTAAGGTTGTCTATGATCTGTATAATATTAATATTAATTCTCTTGAGGATTTTTATTGTTGAAAGCTTCTTGTATATCCACTCTTACCCATGGAAATGCGTTTATTTCATTATGTTTTGGTTAAAAACCACTTAAGCCATAGACCACACTTTCTATGGGTTTACCGGTGAGATAACCCACGCGAGATGTTGGGAGATCACGAGAAAAGCTTGTAAATCACGAGCCGAAGGCAATTGATTTTCAAACTTTTCGAGTGTTCTCCCAACATCCCGCGTGGGTTATCAAGCCGGTAAACTCATAGAAAGTGTGATCTATTGCTTTTATAAAATAACTTTAAGTTTTCGATTAGTTTACCTGCACAATAAACCATAGGTTTTTAACCAATCAGAACGCGCGTACTATCTTACTTATTTTATAAATTAAGGATGTTATTTAACTATGTTTCTTTTAAGTTAGTTACAGTCAACTCCCTCTAAGAAGGACACATTTGCATTGGGACCGGTAGTAAGTTTCCGGGAGATGTCTGTCTTATAAAGTCTGAGAAAACGGCCGACATTTCGCGACGGCACCACTAGTTTCCACGCGAAATGACGCCTGCGAAATGAGCGCAGAAATTCCATACTGATGACGCGTCACCACCCAGATCTGGTTAGTGCTTCTGATTGGTTGTGCGGCGTGGGAAATTTGATTCAACCAATTAGAGGCACTACCCAGATCTTGGTAGTGACGCGTCATCAGATGATGCAATTTTTGCCCTCGTTTCTCAGACGTCATTTGGCGGGGAAACCAGTTGTAGAGTCGCCAAATGTTGACTGTTTTCTAAGGCTAAGTCTTATTG